GAGAAGGAAGTGGTCATTCCAAGTTGACTCACCCTTTGGTGAGCCACTGGAGGGGTAAAATTTAGAGGAGGAAGTGGCCATTCCATCTTGACGACCCTTGTAAGTGAGCAAACATGCGGGAAAGGGCCTGTGTGCGCACTTGAGTCTCCCCGATGGACTGTGTGCGCGCATGAGTCAAATCTGCGTGCGCAGATGAGGCGCAAGTGCTAACAAAATGTGTGTGCGCAGATGAGCCGCCGCCCTTCCAATAAAGCCCTGCGACAATTACATTCTTCACTAAGCCCCGCGACAATTACATTCTCCACTAAAGCCCCGCGACAATTACATTTTCCAATAAAGCCCCGCGACAATTACATTCGATAGCATAAAAATAAAAACCCTCAGCATAAAAATAAAAACCCTCAGCATAAAAATAAAGACCGTTAGCGTAAAAAAAAAAGAACCCACCCAAATCCAGCATAAAAAAAGAACCGTTAGCATAAAGAAAAAAACTATTCCCATTTTAATCTATATAACAAAATACTTTGCATACAGACTGGTATCACGTGCAGCTCTATTTTCGGTTCCACTTGGATCGATGGTGAGAGTACTTTTCCTGCTCGCTGGATTTGGAACAGAGTGGTGTGGGATAATTGTAGCCTCCTGAGGAATGCATACTATATGCAGAAAATCGAGCGCTCCAGCATTTCGGCCATGGCCTTGGAGTGCTTCAATTTGGCCATGAAGCCGACTGGTCATCAACAAGAAGTCGCCTTGTTTTCGTCAGGTGGAGATTCGAAGCCGGGTGAAATTTGAGCCGATGTCAGTGCCTGAGAATAAGGGACACTAAAATTAGATTGCCCGTACGCCGAAGGCAGAGCATGGTCCTACGTTTTAATGCAATCCCAGCTACTGTAGATGTAAATTCAACGCCAGAAACGAATCCAGCAAAGGGTTTGGACAAACTCATGAGCAAGCCAAATAGAGCTGGCGCCTGGGGTTGCACGCACGGCCACCAATGGCTGCGCAAGCAAAAACACCTCTGGCATCAAGCAAACCGTGACATTAAGAACCGAAACACCACCCAAGAAGGTACTATGTATTTGCAAGAAACAGCAACAAATTGCCAAAGATCAAAAGCAGTGAAGACACATCAATTTTAGGAATCTTCAAGCACATATTTTGTGTTGAGGGCTTCAGCATTCAGGAAAAAGACAAAACACATGCTTCACCAATTTGGTCAGCGTTCACTGCCTGAAGCCATTGTCATGCCCCCCGGGCTGGCCAAGCATACACCGACAAATAGGACATCATTTGCCGTCCGGCTGTTTGGACTATTTTGTTGGGAGACAGGAGACATCCAGAGGCGATGTGGAGAGATGCTGCGATCACAATGGCACATGTGTGAAATGTCGAGTCATACTGTAAATGGTCTTCGTTGACGTTTCTTTGTTGGTTATTAAAAGCTGAGGCCTTTGAAGTGCTTCATGGACAAGGCAAAAGTTGCTTTGTGGCATAATGCTGGTATATATACAAGAGGAAGATTGAGAGTTGCCGCCAGTAGGAAGGGTTGAACGGATCTCATGGACAGTCTGCAGTAGCCCCTTTCACACTTGGTACACCGGGTGAAGAGGAGTCTAAGTCAGATTAAGAGAGTAGAGTTGATGTCTCCTCCTGGAGGCCACATACGTCGCGGATGAGGATGATGCCAAGGCCGTCCTGAAGAAACCGGAAGCTCATTGGGACAGATCCATGTTCTCACCACCTGCCGAGCTCCTGGAAAAGGGTCGGCCTCCTCGTGGAGAGCTCACTGGAATGCAGCAGATTGTCTTTGTCCTTGGCCGAGTGGTGGGATCCTCGGGCCTCCCTGCAGCTGATGAGAACCAGCTGAGTGATCCTTTCTGTGTGGTGGAAGCCATGTCACGAACAGCTGGTAAAATCTTTGTGCATCGTACGCGGGTGGTTCCTCGCAAGCTTTGCCCCGAATGGGATGAAGCCTTCTACGTGCCGATTCCTCAAGGCTTTGAATGCAACAGGATGATGTTTAGTATCTACGATAGGGATGAAACAGGTGGGGCTGCTGCAATTATTGCTGGCTTGGATCCGCTTGAGCAGGACGAGTTTCTGGGGAGAGCAAGTGTTGATATTTCCTATCTCTGCAGTGGACAGAAGCTCGTCGAGGACATTCCAGTCTCCGGCTCTTTTGTTGGAAGCCAGGTGAAAACAACTGCGGGTTTCCGTCGCTCTCCCACAATTTGCGTGGAGCTGAGCGTACAGCGCCGGATTAAGCCGTGTTATGGTCTGGCACCAGAGGACCATTCTGCTGTGATTCCACGAAGAACTCACAAAGTCAGTCGGCAGCCCTACTCGGTGGTCTACGCTGATCCATCACAGTTTTTAACCGAAGTGCCTTTAGAAGAGAAGATTGCGATAAGCGTCATGGAAGCCCACAAGACAGGCAGACTTCTAAAAGGCGGGGATAGATCAAAATGGTTCTTTTTGAATTGTTCTTTTTGGACAAGTGTCTGGTACAAGCCGTTTGGCATCAAAATTGTCGTCGCAGGTGCTGCCAAGGGGGAATGGATCCAGCAACCGCGGATGGATGTCCCGGAGGTGATTCCAGACTCCAAGCCGCAGGCACATCATGAGCTGAGGTGGTGGATGTCGGCAACTATATATATATATATAATCCAGTGACTAGAAATTCGGTGTTGGGCAATACACCATGGGTCACCAGCATCTATTAAGGTATGTCAGTTGTTTTCATCAGAGAGTGCACATGACGAGGTGCCAACAAAACTGTGGATGCTTGACAATTACTGGTACATGTCTACACAATTTTCTTCTCCTTCCTTTTCAACGGCGGCGCCCAAGAGTGGCAGTGGCAGTAGGAAATCCGGGAGATTTGCAGTCGCTGGTTGCATGTTTGTGGTTTCTGGTATGTAGATATGGGCCGGCTAGTTAGTTTTTGGCAACTAGGTCAACCGCGTGGAATGTGCTAACATAAGCTGCGCCCAGAGTCCTTCGTCATTTCTCCTTTTGCCCTTTGTGCTTAAATTGCTTAAATCTGAGATGTGAGACTTGTTGCATTTTGACCAGTCGTTGCACGCTTTGTGACAGTTGTGAACTCAAGGTTTGATGAAGTTGTTTGTTTTTTACCCTCCGAGACAGAGATGCAGAGAGTGCTCGATGGTGTGCCCAATCAGTATAGTAAATATATGTATATCTATATATTACGAAAGCCAGCCGATAGGCTAGGCTGGAGTTATGGGCGAACGAAGTGAGTATAGGGTGTGTGTGGGGGGTGGTCGCAAACGCGGTCCCGCCGGGTAGGGTGAACCCAGAAACTGGCGGTCCGGAAAGAGTGGTGAACATGTATGTTTTAGGGGGTCTTGGTGAATGCAAATGACGCTGAATAATGCATCATTAGCATCACGAAGTGCTCAGGAGACTATTTACAGTAGACTGTCTATTGAGCAGGGGTGGGAGTTCGTGTAGAGGACGCCACGCAAGAAAAGAGGTCATGACGGTCATCCCCACTGAGGGAGCTGACCAGGCTAACCAGGTGTGTCCATCCAGTTAGAGGAGAGAAGCAGTGCGCAAGCCAGAATCTATTTTTGATAGAGATAGCGCTCGGACAACGCTGGAGGACAAAAGCGGGTTTCATTTTACGGCTGCGTCTTGTTCTGGGATCTCCTCTTTGCTCCGTAAAGAGGATGCCCCGCTCACCAGATTTACGAGTGCAGTTAGGGGACAGGAGAGGAAATAGAATGCAGTCAACAAACTTTGAGTTGTTTGGGGTGTCGTTAGGACTGTTAAGTGCATGAAAAAGGGCGCCCCTCAGAGCTATAGACGTCCAAGCAAGTCGGGCTGTTGTGTATACCGGCTCTATCATATCGAGCTTCAAAGCGAGATGCTGCGTCTCTTGGCTAATAAGAGTAGAAGGAAATGCGAGAAACGATGTCACCCCACATCAAGGGAGTTGACTAGGCTAACCCGGTGTGTCCATCCAGTTAAAGGGCAGAAGCAGCGAGACTCTGTGCAAGCTAGGATCTCTTTCTCATGGAGATAGCTCACGAGGACATTTGGGGGTTTAATCTTTGCAACCGCGTCTTGATGTGGGATCTCCCGGAGAGGAAATAGAATGCAGTCAGGCACCTTTGAGTTGCTTGGGGGTGCCACTTTTCTTGGCAAAAGGCTGTTAACCGGATGAAGAGGGCACCCGTTTGAGCTATAGGTGTCCAAGAGAGTCGGACTTTTACACGAATCGAAGTTTATCCCATGCCAAGTAATGGCGGATGTCCTGCTAAATTCAACCTTTATCCGCCCGCGCTGTAAATGTCCTGCTCAACTCAACCTTTCTCGGCACGGGCTAATGGTCCTTGATCAAAACTTTGCCTTTAGAGAACCAATCATATCAACCCTCAATGCGAGACTTTCCGCCTCTCTGCCTTCTAATTCCCATGCCTGACAGCAGCTCCAGTGCGCTGTCGAATTCACCCCATGACCACATTGATGTTTGCTTACGGAGGCTAGTTTTCGTCCCCTCCCTTGTCACGTGTAACACTATTATAAACATCCAAAAGCTGCTGATGAGTAAGCTGTTGGAGGCCATCGCTAGTAGGTTGGAGGCCATCTCTAGGTGTCGGCCCAAGCGCGTTCCAGCACGTGCGCCCGAGCTCGCTAATGGCTTGGGAGGGATCTTTTTGCCCGGAGCCATGGCTGACTGGAGTTCCTGACAATGAGTCAGTGTCATTGTCGGGAAAAGCATGGTTTTATGAGGCCAACCTGAAGGCCTACAGCTGCACATCTTGGATCCATGGACAGCATTTCTACCTCCAAGGAGCCCGACTGACTGGCGATCAATTCACCCTGATTGCTGCCAGAAAGTTCACAGATGGTCCTCAGGTGATCTTAGATGCCTCAGCTGCCGTGTATAGGCCCCAAGGCCTGTTGGACAGTGACACATCCACAGACATCATTGATGTTTGCGCTGGCCTCTCGATCATGTCGGCTGGATACAGTGGTAATAACTGCAAAGTTAGGTGTCATGTCGAGATCAATCCTCGATATGCGGAGTGGCTCAAAGCCAAGAATGTTCCTGTGATTGTTGGAGACGCTAGCAGTACAGCTGTTCACCAAGCCTTGGTCCCCTTTGCTGCCACTCCATGCATTGTCACGGGAGGATTTGCATGTCAACCCTTCTCCCAGCTGGGTGACCGAAGGCAAGAGCTCGATCCACGAGCCAAGAGCTTTGAGGGCATGATCAAGATCTGCTACTTGTTTCAGCCTGCTGCAATGATCATGGAGTGTACAAAGGAAGCATTCACATCCCATGGGTTCAATCCACACTGCATGCCCTGAGCAGGGCCACGGGATATTCGCTCCAGCAACAGGTCTGCCAACTGCAGGATGTTTGGCCAGCGAAGCGAACTCGGTGGTGGGCAACACTGGTTCACCCTCAGGTGAAGATGGCCGAGATCCAGACTTTTCCATGCTTGCCGTTCACGCCGTCCTTTCGCCATCTCATCCCCACATTGGCAAGCTGGCCGACTGACCAGATTAATGAGTTGGCCCTCACGCCTCATGAGCTAGCCGTGTTTGCCGACCAAGACGGGGGACTAGGCAAGAACTCGGTGAATCCCACGAAACCCCGCCGTTGACAGGGGATCCCAGCTCACGGCCTGTGCGTGTGGATGTCGGTCTGGGGGGTTCGGCCTGTATGGTGCACTGATCCCTACCAATGGAACCACTACCATCAAGGGTCAGATCCTGCCCAGTATGAGGCACATTCATCCAGATGAAGTTGCAGTGTTGCACCTTGTCCCAACCAAGCACCTGGACAACCATGAGCCCAGAAACCTCCGGTTTGAACTCACTGCACTAGGCCAAATGGCCTCCCCGGCACAAGCTGTTTGGCGCGTAGCCCAGGTCGTTCAGGCTCTTCGACAGACCTTTGGATCCATTGATCAGACCTCGTTACCGGAAGAAGGGCTCAAGCAACTTGTGATTGCTACGTTTGCGGCTCGAGATCAAATGCTGCAGCCGTTTGAGCACACCAGGGAATCGAGCCTCTTCCAGCAAGCCGTGTTCGCCAAGCTAGGCATGAACTATGTCCGGCCCCCAGGACCCAGATCCATGATCGTTGCCTCCGTGGCCAGTGAAGCAACCGGCCAACCTCGTGATTCCAACAAAAGGAAGTCAATGTCGACCCCAGCTCATGATCATGTCCATGGACCACCAGCAGGAGTCTCTGCCACTGGGGGAATTGAGATGTTTGCCAATCGATCGAGTGTGCTAGCAGATCGAGTTCTCGTCCCGCACGCCTCGACCTGGCACAAACTGCAAATGTCCGACGCCGCTTCACCAGTGATTTCTACTGCAAGAGGCAAGGGTAAAGGGAATGCAGGGGGGGGAACAACACCGGTCCGGGTCCCAGAGCCTACTCCAGCCGAGGAAGCCATGCATGATGCTGCTGATCCAAGTGCCAGTTTCCCTTGATGATCACACTCCGAGTCAGGCAAACATGCATTTGATGCCTGTTGAACCGTTTCAGATTTACGTTTGCGTCCCAGGTGAACCACCGCATTCGATCCGGGTCCACTCAGGCACAATAGGCACACGTGCGCGCAACGCCTAGTCTCAGCATCAGTCTGAATGGAAGCACACGATTGCAAGGCCTGATAAAGCAGGGACCTCTTGTGGCAGTTGACGAAATGCAATTTTATGCACCCCTTGTCCGCAGCCAGGGACATTTGACTCACATTGCAGAGCCGCTGGTTATCGAAGATCCGGAAGATTTCCATCAGGAAATCGCTTCGCGGACACTCCAATGCAAGCATGCATATGAGGTCTGTAATGAGCACACTGACTTCGTTGTTCCAGTCCTGTACTTGAGTCATTGGATCCCCCTCGGACTGACCGTGTCGGACCAGGACGCCATCATGCGTATCCCACAAGACCTGATGCACCAGATTTCGCATCTTGTCATCCAAGAATGTGGAATGAATGAGGTCCGGTTTGAATCGTTCATCATGCCAACCGCGTCAACTGGATGTTTGCTCAAGCCATAGGCACCATGGCCCCACATGCGGCCACACCAGCGCAGGCTGATCAATGGAGAGTGCCATTTGCGCAGCACCTTCAACAGGCGAGCTTTGATGAACAACCAGGTAGAACACAGCAGATTCGACTTGGAGGGATAGACCAACCTGCGCTCGATGACCCAGCCTGATCAAAGTCACAGACACAACCAGGTGTGAGCCTTCTCTCCATTCATGTGTAAGTGCAACAGGGAGGGACATGTCGTGGCCACCTGCATGCCGTGTTGGGATTGATACCCACGAAGACTGTGGTTCGGCCGCCCAAGCCCGCATTCGACCATCGCGCAACGGTTCGATTGTCCTCGACCTGGGTCCGTCCGCCCGCAGTTGTGGCCTGCTCCACCAAGGCCCGTTCGTAGCTGATGATGAAATGGACTACTATGCCAGCCAGGCCAGGGCATTCGGATTTCAGATCGGTCGCCCTTTGATCGCTGATAGCAGCACAGCCCTCAGTTCGCTCCTTGCTGCATGGATTGAGCAATGCCGCATCATGCGCCACGACAATCGCAATCAGGCCGAGTTTGTGGTCCCCGT